ATGGTGACTCGGTCCCACTTCCACTCAGGTATAGAAATTGGTTGTAGTAAACCAGATGGGACTTGATGTTCCGCTTTCACTTGTTGACATGTGAGGCATTTGGTGACATAATCCGCTATATCTCTCTTCATACCCGGCCACCAATAGTGTAGCTTAAGATCTCCATACATTTTAGTGCTACCGGGATGCATCGAGTAGGAACTGTTATGTGCTTCCTTCATTATTTGACTTTTCAAATCATCTTTCTCTGGTACACTTATTCTGCCTTTAAAATATACAACACCATCATCTGTCAACACCAAGTCTTTTTCCTTCCCCTCTTGAATTCGAGTTACAAGTGAAGATATTCGATCATCTTGTTTCTGGGCATTCATCACCTGTTGGATTAAATCGGGTTTCACCCTCAGCTCTGCTATAATTGCTCCATCTGATGCTGATTTTAGGTGAACATTCATAGCCCGTAAGGCAAATAAAGATTTTCTACTGAGAGCATCAGCTACTACATTTGCCTTTCCCGGGTGATAGTCAATTACACAGTCATAATCTTTAATCAACTCTAGCCATCTGCACTGTCTTAAGTTTAGCTCTTTTTGAGATGGTAGATATTTAAGACTTTTATGATCTGTGTAAATGTAACATTTCTCACCATACAAATAATGTCTCCAAATCTTTAAGGAGAACACAATTGCTGCCAGTTCCAGATCATGTGTGGGGTAATTCTTCTCGTGTGACTTTAATTGTCTCGAGGCATATGCGATCACCTTACCATCTTGCATAAGTACAGATCCAAGACCATTTAGAGAAGCGTCATTATAAATAGTAAATTCTTTCCCGGGGACTGGTTGTGTTAGAACCGGTGCCTCGGTCAGCATAGCCTTCAATTTCTCGAAACTAGCTTGACATTTTTCATTCCATTCGAACTTGATACCCTTTCGGAGTAACCTGGTCATCGGGGAAGCAATAAGAGAAAAGCCTTTAATGAATCTTCGATAGTACCCAGCTAATCCTAGGAAGCTTCGGATTTCAGTCACATTTTTGGGAGGTTTCCACTCCATGATGGCCTCAATCTTCTTCGGGTCAACTCTTATACCTTCTGCAGAAACAATATGACCGAAAAAAGATATCTCCGTCATCCAGAATTCGCATTTGCTCAGCTTGGCATACAATTTATTTTCTCTCAGCGTCTGTAGCACAATTCAGAGATGTTTCTCATGTTCTTCTGGTGTTTTAGAATACACAAGTATATCATCAATGAACACTATCACAAATTGATCTAGATATGGCTGGAAAACCCTGTTCATTAAATCCATGAATGCCGCTGGTGCATTTGTGAGACCAAAGGGCATCACTACAAATTCGTAGTGTCCATATCTAGTCCGAAAGGCAGTCTTGGGAACGTCACACTCCTTTACCCTTAGCCGATGATAACCAGAGCGAAGATCTATCTTTGAGAAAATGCCTGCTCCCTTTAACTGATCAAACAAATCATCAATTTTGGGTAGAGGGTACTTGTTTTTAATTGTCGCCTTATTAAGTTGTCTATAGTCCACACATAGCCTGAACGACCCATCTTTCTTTTTCACAAATAGTACTGGTGCTCCCCATGGTGAAGTGCTGGGTCGTATGAACCCCTTATCCAGTAACTCCTGCAATTGAATCTTCAACTCCTTCAATTCCTTAGGTGCCATCCGATATGGAGCAATAGATATCGGATTAGTTCCTGGAAGAACTTCAATTGTAAAGTCTACTTCTCGCTCTGGTGGGAGTCTAGGTAATTCTTCTGGGAATACATCCGGAAAATCTTTCACAATGGCTATGTCTGAGAGATTGAGTCCTGCCAACTTCGTGTTGATTACATAAGCCAAAATAGCTGTGCACCCCTTTCTTATCATTTTTCGTGCCATGGTGGCCGAAATAACATTTGAGAGAAAATCATATCTTTCCCCTACTATAATCACCTCTTCATTAGTAGATGTTTTCACAGTAATCTGATGTGTGTTTTCTCGCACTTAAAATGATGTAGTAAAATGGTGTAAAGTACGAGTATCGTCTCCACAGAGACGGACAAAAGGGAAATAAAGATTAACTAAACTTTAGCGATTAAAAAGAAATAAATAAAATAAAAAAAATGCAATTGTGTGAGATTGGTTGATTGATTGAAATAAAACTAATGCTAATGAGCGAATAAAAAGATTTGGTTTTCCTTAATTAACGACGAAGGGAACATGAATTGATTCCGGGGTTAACCAGATTTCTGGCAGAACAGGCCTAATCACATGAATTTAATTTAATTGAGCCTAGCTAATCATTACTAAGTTCTTACCGCTCTCGCGGCGTAGAGTACAATAATTTAGGGGACCAGGCTGATCTCTCATGCGACAAGATCCTAAATTATTGCCAAAACGAGCGAGCTTACGGCCCCTTAATCGCTACTAATCTCTTAGCGAACGATTAAGTGTGTGTGAATGTGTCCTAGAACAAATTAGATCTCTCTTAATTTATTCTACATGCAATTGTAATTCTAGCTGCAGTCTAGGTTACAAGAGATATCAATTAAATTATTCAAACACAAATTAAACGGCATTCATGCAATTAAACCGACAAGAATCTAGCCATCAATCATGATTAACCCCTTCATCAACCCCAAATCCCTAATTAAACTACTCACGCCTCATAATTGACGAATCAAAAGAATTGGGATGAATAGAAATAATTGTCATTAATTAAAGAATTGAACTTACAAAGAATCCCAGGTTCTTGGATTAAACAACGTAAAAACGCAGATAAACTCGTCCCTAGGCCTCTCTCCAAAGTTCGTAACCCCCAAAACGGGGTTATGGAGGCCTTATTTATAGAAAACAACGAATTTCGGTCGAATTAGGATCAATTGCGGCCAGGCACGGTGCCAGCCACGACCGTGCCTGCGACCGTGCCTACGGAAGGATTCCGTTTTTTCGCGTCCAGGCACGGCGTGCCTAGCTGCCAGGCACGACCGTGCCTGGCCTCCAGTAACTCGTAGTTTCGTTTTTCTTCAGGCACGGCGTGCCTAAGTCCAGGCACGACCGTGCCTGACCTTATCCTTCACTTTTCCTTCGTTTTCTTGCTCCGAACGCTACCGGATGCCTACGAGGTTGATCCAAATGCTCTTTCTTCATCAGAATTTCGTCGTGAATCTCCCGGTGACCTCCAAATATTCCAAATCTTTCTCGAATGCCTTCAAATCCTTCCTGAATATCTCTCAAGCGCCGATTGCCGGACTCTAACTTCTTCAAATCAACTCCAAATGCAATGAAACTCGATCCAACGCCTGTTAAACACAGCTTGAGCCAAAATTGAGACTTGCAACGCCTTAAAGCCAGGAAAATCATCAAAATCCGACTCGGACACGCATCAAATGCGTGTCTAAATACGGACTTATCAAACTCCCCCACACTTAAGCTTTTGCTTGTCCTCAAGCAAATTGAACAACGGGACTTACGATAATCACCACACGGAATTTAAAATAGTTAGCATACACACGTAGTTAAAGGGATATTCACAGGACAGACAATCTAAACAAAGAAAATTCTTCCCTAAACTACATCTTTGTACTCAAGCTAATCTATTTGACACAATTATTCACAACATCCTCAAAGTAGTGACAGCACACACAAATAAACTAGCTATCGATCAGAAGGACTTGTGAAGGTGGTGGTGAATGGTTCATGGATAACAAAAATAGTCCCTTTCTTTTGAGAGATTGGAATATTCTAACACAGACTCTATGCATTCAGGAACTTCAGGGCTATTTTTAGGAACAAGGAACTCAGTAAGCCACAATTTAGGAACAATCATTTAAACCTATGCAAAGAGTAGACATGGTGTACAACTAAGCTAAACCGTCTCGGCACATTTGTGCTTTGACGTATACTTGAAGTACGCGAAGGACTAAAGCTAATTTTTGCAATAGCCTCCAAGTTCATTTAATTAGGTTCAGTTTTCCTTGTCATGTTGGCACGAGAACGCCGTTTCTTTCGAAAGATACCCAAGTCTCATCTTACGCTTTTTGACCCGGGCTCCCATTCCCTTTTTCGAAAAGTAAGAGGTCTAGCTGTATTAATTTTTCACCTCTCGGATTCTCACTAGACATTACCCCATTCTAATCTCGGCCTCACCAAGGAAAAATAGCAATTTTAAGTTCATTAATTTCAAAGTGAATCCATGCCTACAATGCAATCCTCGAAAGTATCAAATTCCTAAAAAGTGACTGCTCTTACCCCGTTTGGAGCATAGGAACAGTGCCAAAAATGGCTCCTACACAAAATTCCCTAAACTAAACAAATTACTCCCTTAATTCCCTAAACATCAAGACTAAGTCAGAAATATTCACGGGTAAGGAAAAAGGCCATTTGGCTATGGAGCTCAATTAATTGGGTAACAATAAACAGTCAGGCTCAAAATCGCTTCTCCTAAAGGGTTCTTTCAGGTGGGGTGGATGATTATTGGAAAATTCAATGGGTGACTAATGCCTTCATCCTCTCAACAATTAGATTATAGTGCAAGCAATTTAAGCCTAAACACTTCAAGAATGTCATAAAAGCATAGTCAAAATGCTAGCCAAGCTCACAAAGACACTGTTTAAAGAAAAATTTTCAAATATTTTGCATGAATTTCCTATGAATATACAACTAACACCTGCGCATGCTAACTCTAACAAATCACATGTGACAACCACTGCCCGAATGCCCAATTCACTCCCCCACACTTAAACTTTGGCATCGCCCTCGATGACCAAATATGCATTATGTACTAGGGGTAAAGAGGAAAGGGTCACGCGTGCTCAAAAACAACTCAAGTTAACATTACGCATCGAGAAAAAAAGAATCATGGAAACTCCCCTATCGCGTTGGTCGGTCAGGAACATAACTGGGTCTTGATTCGCACGGCACATTTATCCACAAAGCTGCACACATCATGAACACAAAGCAAAACAAAGCATAATAAAAAGCGTTAAGTGTAAGAGTGAGAGTGTGAGTGTGATAGTGTTTAAGGTACAGTCATCCAACAGTATAATGATACAGATGCTAGCAGAGGACAATCTAATAAAATCTAAAACTCAGGAGGGGGTGGCGGTGGATAGTCATCGAAGAATGAACTCCAGCTAGACTCCATAGAGGTGAGTCTCTCATCAATCCGGGTGTATTGAGACTGAAGCTGTGAATAATGGAGTGTCTGGTCCTCCCTCATCTCTCTATAGAAGTCCTGCTGCTCGAAGCGCATCTGATCGAACCGCTCATGCTGCTCAGCGGACAACTGCCGATAGACGGCATCCTGATGCGCATGCATCCCTGCCCAAGAATCCGGAAAATCTGTGCCGTAGGGGGGTGCATCGTATGGGGCCTCGTGAGCAGCTGCCTCCATCTCCACATCATCATCATCGTCATCATGGTCATCATCATCAGCATCATCATCTACCTGCTGTCCTCCTCCTCCTGCTGCTGCGCGGTCAGCCTCCCGCTGAAGTCTAGCCCCAAGTCCGGTATTCATGGACGGAAGTATGGTGAGCGGAAGAAAACTAGAAGAAACCTCCATATTTCGGAACTGATCTCCATAGTCCATCCCTCGCAGAAGACGTGTAATGTATGGACCGGAATATAGGGCCTGAATGTGGTTTGTGGATTGGCGATGGAAGAGGCTAGCTATGATAGAGCCCATGCAGGGCTTCCTGTCATGAACCATGCAGTAGAGGCATAACAAGTCAGTGGTAGAAACCTTGGCCCCAACCTCAGCCCTCCCGGTCACTGTAGAAGCAAGTATGGCGTGGATAACTCGGAACTTCTGGGGATAAAGAAGTGTGGCTGGGGTCTCCCGGGGCTTATAAGTCTTGCCCCCTCTACTAATCGATTCCCAAAAGGCCTGTCTGTTCACATGCGGGGGGAGGTCACAAAGGCCAATCTCGTCTCGTTGTCCAACCTCAACATCATCAAAACCCAAATAGCTCTCAATCTGACTAAGCGAAGTATCCAGCTTGTCTTCAAAGGCTTGGAACCTTATTCCCCGTTTGAGATAGTCCCTCTCCGGTATGAGCTTTGGGAGCTCAATTGTGGCTAACACCTCACACGTGACTTCCTTGAAGGTCGGCTCTTGGATGCCGAAAAATAAATGCTGCCACCAACCTCTCCTGATCAAGTGCATCACCTCATCCCTCAGTGTGGGCTCCGCTGCCATCAGTGTGGGCTCATCTGGGTGGTACATCGTACCCACCTTCTTCTTCATCAGCTCTAGGTATGTCAGCATCTCCTTTTCTGTGTCAAACTGGGGCTGGTAGCGGCCGCCTCGTGTACCCTGTGAGCGGCTAGAGCTAGCAACTGCGGTGTGAGAAGCGCGTGTGGAGTTCTTTGTGCGGGCCATCTGCAAAAAATAGTAAAAACAAAAGAATTCCAACGGGGCTTCAAGAGGTTAGAATTAGGCACAGAAAAGAATAGCCCCGTCAGCAACAATGATCCGCCAACATCAAAATACGCCAAAAGAAAATCCAAGTTTAACCAGAATAGTTGAAAAGTTTTGAATTTTTATCAAAGAAAGGTTCTTTGAATAAAATTCAAGTTTTCAACGACACACGGTATAAACAAGGTCACAAGCAAGCTTCATTCATTCCAACAATGTTTTTAGAATAGAGTTCTTCCCAACAGAATTAAAAAAAATCAAAATAGGGGAAGAACTTACAATTCTTAAATTTGACATGGTTTGGCCTAAAAATTGGGGGTTTGTGCTCAAATAGCCTTAATAACAAGTACACATTATTTCAATCAATAATTCAATCTTTAATTCAAGCAACAAGCACAAAATCCCCAATTTTTCAAACATTCAACAACTTTCAACCCTAAATTGGCTAAATTAGCTCAAAAATTAGGGATTTCAAACAAAAGAGGCAAATTCATCATGATAGAACATCAATAGCAATAACACAAGCCTCAATTGACACATGGAAATCAAAATCCCTAAGATTCGAGTACATGCATTTTCGGATTTTTCAAAGCTTAAACAACCTCCATTAATGGAGAAAAAGAAGAAGAAGGAAGAAGAGAGTTACCTTGAGTGATGAGAGGGGGGAGAAGAAGGGGCTCGGTCGGAGTAGTGGTGGTCGCCGGCGGTGGTCTACGGTGGTGGCGGGTCGCGGTGGTCCGTCGGCTTCGAGGCAGGAGAGAGATCGATGCTTAGGGGCTGTGTTCGCGTAAGAGAAAAGAGGGGAGAAGGGCTGGGTAATGTTAAATCGCGGGGGTAGGATAGTAATTTTAGCCAGGCACGGCGTGCCTAGCTGCCAGGCACGACCGTGCCTGGCTCCCAGTAGCTGTGTTCGCGATTCATGCCAGGCACGGCGTGCCTAGCTGCCAGGCACGACCGTGCCTGGCTCCCAGTAGCCTTCCATCGATTTTTTTCTCTTCAGGCACGGCGTGCCTGAAGGTAGGCACGACCGTGCCTGCTTCGAATCAACCTTTTTTTTTTGGGTGGTTTTTGTGGGTTTTCTGAAAAGCAGTAAAACTAAACTAACAAAGCACAAATTAAGCTCGGGTTGCCTCCCGAGAAGCGCTATTTTTAACGTCGTTTGCCCGACGCAACTACGCACTCAAAAACTCAGTCAAAGACACTTCCGCTCATAAAATTTGTCTTCCACAAATCAAACCTCTTATCAACAAATGCCCTGAGATGGCGTAAGACCTTAAATTCATGAAAACAATTACGCATCTCAGGGTTACCCGTAAAGCAACAGAATGGATCGTGGCCTTTATCAGGCCCTTTAGCAAAGAATGGGTCAAAGAATGGACAACTCCCTTTCATGTCAAAAATTTTCCGAGCTAGAGCTTCCCCTTGTTCGCTAAGTAAATTAAAACATGTAAAATTTTGGGATGGCTCAAGCTCGGGTGTAAAAATGACAGGGGGGTCAGGATTATCATCAATAAAATCATGCTCATTTAAATCACCTCTCGTCTCTCGCTCAGAACTAGCATCACTTGAATCCTCCCCTCCACTTATCATAAGACAATCAAAGCTAGGGAGGGGCTCAAGATCCTCTGCTGATATACTCTCTTCCAACAAAATATCAAACGGGGCTTCCTTGGAAAGCATGTTAGGTGTGCAATCCTCCACCATAGAATCAATATCATCCACATAAAAACACTCTCCACTGTCCTGACAGGGCCTCTTCATTATTTTGGACATATCAAAGGTGGCAGTCTCATCCCCAACACGGAGGACAAGCTTACCGTCTCCAACATCAATAAGCGCTCGGGCAGTTGCCAAGAATGGTCTGCCCAAAATTAAAGGTACCTCACGATCCTGATTCATGTCCAAAATAACGAAGTCTACAGGAATAATAAACTTGTCCACTTTAACCAACACGTCTTCAATAATACCTTTAGGATATTTGACTGAACGGTCAGCCAACTGAATACACATACGCGTTGGTTTAAGTGGACCGAGTGCAAGCTTCTCATACAAGGAATATGGCATCAAATTAATGCTTGCACCCAAATCAGCTAAGGCCCTATCAAAAGTAAGATCTCCTATTAAACAAGGTATAGTGAAAGAACCTGGATCCTTAAGCTTCTCTGGTAGATCCCTCCTAATCACTGCTGAACAGTCCACGTTAAGCCTTACCGTTGACGCGTCTTCCAACTTCCTTTTGTTAGTGAGTAAATCCTTCATGAACTTGGCGTACTTCGGCATCTGTGCTAGTGCATCTACGAATGGAATGTTGAGCTGGACTTGTTTCATGAGTTTCAGAAAATGACCAAACTGGTCACTATCATTCTTCCTAGTCAATCGCGCCGGATAGGGGAGAGGTGGGGTGTAATTCTTAACCGGAACGGGCTGTTTTGGTGCAGCCGCCACCTCTCGTCCCTCTTCTAACTCCTTTTCTTCCTCTAGGGCAGCCGGTACGTCATTAACTTCAACGGGCTTCTTTGCCATGGCAGCAGGTTCTAATTCTTTTCCACTCCTTAAGGTGACTGCATGAACATGTTCTCTTGGGTTTGGCTCGGTATTGCTAGGGAGGGATCCCAGAGGCCTCTCAGATAAAGCCCTTGAGATCTGTCCCAATTGAGTCTCCATGTTCTGCATCCTTGAGTCAGCCTGCTGCATCCTCAAATCTGTTTGTTGTTGAGATTGCATTTGTTGCTGCTGAATTTGCAGCAACTTCTTGAGTGTTTCCTCTATGCCAGAAAATCTTTGTTCTGTTTCTCTCTTAAAACTCTCTTGCACTGGCTGAGATGCTTGATGTTGATTAAAGTTCCTAGATTGCTGCTGAATTCCTTGCCCGTAATTTCCTTGTTGCTGCTGTCCGTAGGGCTGATTTTGGTAGCCCTGTCGCTGGTAATACATCCCGTCAACTTGCTCTACTCCAGGGGCTGCCAAGTGTGTCATCATAGTGCATTCATGAGGCGAATGGAGACCCCCACAAATGGTACAAGAGGGACTAATAGGACCGGGGGCTACCATATTAACACTAGGCACCGATAGAGCAAGATTCGTCTTCTTTTGATTATCCTCCACACTGGTAGCAAGCTTCTGAATCATGCTAGTCAAAGCATCTACCCTCGCAGAAAGGGCAGAATTATCACTGATCTCGTACAAGCCCGGGGCCTTCTGGTGAGGTGTGTCCCGAGAGCCATACCATGAAGCATTATTAGAAACTATCTTCTCCACTAATTCTTCCGCCACCTCAGATGGTAATTGAGGAAAAGCTCCTCCACCCGAAGCATCAAGCATCATCTTCCCTTCATCGCTGATTCCGCTGTAGAAACAAGATAGAATCTCACTATCAGTCATCTTGCCTTGAGGGCAAGCTCTTCTTAGCACTTTGAATCTCTTCCATGCCTCGGCCAATGTCTCCAAAGAACCTTGCTTGAAATCCTGCAGCTGCCTCTTCAACTTTATTGCCTTTGATGTCGGAAAATACTCCTTGATGAAGGACTTGTGCAACTGATCCCATGTCTGAATATGGTGATGTGGATTGCTATCCAACCACCTCTGCGCGTCATCCCTCAATGAGAAAGGGAACAATAGCATCCGTACCTGATCATCATCTAGCTCAGGGATCTTGAACGTTTGGCACATCCTCAGAAATTTTGTAATGTGTGCCACTGGATCTTCTGTAGGGCTCCCTCCAAACTGATTATTGGACACCATGTTGATCACCGCTGGGTTGATCTCATAGCGAGGTGCAGTAATTCCTTGCACTTGAATGCTGTCGTACTCTGTGATGTCCGGAGTGAGGAACTCTGCAATGGTCTCTCCTTGATAAAGCGGATTGTTATATGGGACATGATGTTGGAATAGAGGAGCCTGATGTCTTGGTTGAAGAACTGGTTGTGGTCTAATAGGATGTGCACGGGCTATGTTTGGCTGTGCTTGGGGCTGATGATATTGTTGAAATTGATTTTGGAAGGGCTGAGTTTGTGGTTGATGGATGGGTGGATTTTGAGTGACTTGGGGCTGGTTTTGTCTTGGCTGAAAGAGTGGATTATTTTGCCCAATACCTTGCATCCCGTATGTTTGATTTTGAAAAGTAGTTACGGGAGCAGTAGAGGTATCTTAGAAGAGTTGATAAAGCGGAGTCATGTTGATTTGGGGTGTGGCCTGATTTTGAGGAAAGAATGGTGTGCGGGAATTCTGAAATCCCGAGTAATTTCTAGGTGAAAAAGGCGGTGAAGACTGGGGAGAGGTATTGACATAAAAATCAAGGTTACCAGACGTGGTTTGGACCTCAGACGTCCCAGCAATTCCAGATGATGTAGGTTCCATGGTTACGTTCTTCTCAAGAAAAACCTTGCGGTTCTGTCTAGCAAACTTCTCAATCTCAGGATTAAGAGGGACAAGTGATTCTCCCTTCTTTGAACGTGTATGCATAAACAGATCTGACCTGCAAGGTTAGCAGACAAAAATCCTACGAAAAACTAAAAACAAGTCACTAAAATTAATTAACCCTTAAATCCGACACCGTCCCCGGCAACGGCGCCAAAAACTGATGTGTGTTTTCTCGCACTTAAAATGATGTAGTAAAATGGTGTAAAGTACGAGTATCGTCTCCACAGGGACGGACAAAAGGGAAATAAAGATTAACTAAACTTTAGCGATTAAAAAGAAATAAATAAAATAAAAAAAATGCAATTGTGCGAGATTGGTTGATTGATTGAAATAAAACTAATGCTAATGAGCGAATAAAAAGATTTGGTTTTCCTTAATTAACGACGAAGGGAACAGGAATTGATTCCGGGGTTAACCAGATTTCTGGCAGAACAGGCCTAATCACATGAATTTAATTTAATTGAGCCTAGCTAAT